GCTTTTTAGTAAACTAAACTGCTCGGTTTGTCCATCGACGGAAAGCTATCACTGAAGAAGACCCAAAAGATAGAAATTTGCTTTCATTCATGCTCATTCTTTATGTTATTGTTACTACATAAATATGAATACATTGCCTTGTTACAGGTCACAGATTCTTCCGATTTTCCACTGTTCGACATTTGGGTCGAATCTGCTTGCTGTGGCCGTCCAGTATGGGTTATAGAATCATACGGTTTGTTTTACAAGATTCTTTGGGAATGTTTAGCTGTGTTCAACGGCTTTTGCATGATTAAAGGAAAGATTCAGAATTGAACTGATGAGGTAATTCCACTCAAATGTGAAGTAGGGTGGGAAGTGGACCGCCAGTGGAGAAAAAAAATCGTGAAATACACAGGAAATACGAGCCTTTTGCTCTACGCTGCGGAGAAGTTCAAAAGGCCGGCAGGGAGATGAGAGATAATGTGAGCGCGGAGAGCGGTAGAGAAGTCCGAGTAGAGAGAGCATAGCAGATCAACATTGCGACGCAGACAAGATATCGAGCGGTGGGCGGAGCGTGTCGCAACAGGTGGAGCGTGTCAAAGTCCTTGGCCCTAGCGCCTTAGTGACGCATTTCGATGCGGGAACGTGGCGAGTCCCTGCAGTTGCGTCCCACGCACTTCTAGCCACTTTAAGGGCTTATTAAGTGGGTCTGAGCCCGAACTTTGCCTTTAAGTGCATTGAGCAATCCTGAGCCATCGCGCCTATTTGCGTACTATACAGGCATTCGAAAACATTTACCAAATTTTCACACTATACTACAGTAATATTGTGTGAAGGTGGATTGAGAATAACTTAGCAGTGCTCCAGATAATTTGCCATCTCATTGATGAGCTATCGGTTCCGTTGAAGTTGGCTTCAGTCCACACGAAGATTATAAATATCATTAGTCGAACAGTGAAGTCCCTTTTTCTAAAAGACTTTATCTCATAGTTTAGACTGATCTTAAGTCGATATTACGAAGATTTTTAAGGATAAAGGGATAAAGCATTTGCCGTTGATCAATCCCTTTTTGGGATGCGGCACGCATTCTACTTCCATTTGTACATTCGTAGTGGCATTTGAATGCGATGTGGCCTATACAATGACTTGCGGGGCCAGCCGGTATGCAGTCAGTGCTCTGCCTCCCAGCCAAGTCGGGAGGATGGACGGCGTCGACTCAGATGTCGATCCCCAGACTGCGCGCGTGATAAGCAGCGCCACTTGCCATACACCGCTTCCGTTTTAGTAAAATTCTTACTTGAGGGAATGAAGATGAACTCGAAATGGAAGGGACTTGTCAAACATTAAGGAGTTACCAGCATTCCAAAGGCGTCAGTGATTACAGAAAAAGCCAGAGCCACATCGAAATAGGGCGCATGTATAGTGCATACTCTCGTGCTTCATAATAGCACGACGCCTTGTCCTTCTTAGGACGTTGACCAAGCCTTTTTTCGTTTTTTATTTCTTTGAAGATATTCGGGCCATCTTTTTAGGTCGTCGGGTGTTAGTTCTCTCCGAGTTGAGTAGAAGAGGTGCAATGTCATTTTTGCCGCTGATGTCTCTCTTCCGAAGAAGGGCGAGGCTTGCTGCACAAAGTGTGATCGACTGGAATGGCGACCTCATTGGATATTTCTTGCCCGGTGAGTAAATTGACAGCTTTCCTTTTCCTCAATAATAGTGATTCCAAAGGGTTCGGCCTCTGATGTTACGGATGTGGTCGCTTAGAATGAATCACAATGTCGCTGCTTTCTAATCCTGGTCATCTCATCGGTAAGCTTCAATGTAGAACGAATCTCGATCCTCCATGTCGAGTAACCCACGTTATAAGTTCAAGTTCTCAAAACGTTCTGGGAGGAATGCTTCAAAAAAAAAAAAAAACAATAATGCGGGAATTGATTCTCTATATAAGGGCTGCCTTTCGCCTGTGACTTCGAATCACGAACGGCCCGATCGCCTCAATGTTGGTCTAGAGGTCTCAAGAACCGGATTCCATCACACTAGGTGGCCCATCTTTGAAGTGAACTTCATTAATCGTAGACTTCGGTAGGGCTCATTAAGACATTTGGTCGGGTAGTCTTAATTGGTTTCGACCCTATCAGGCTCTGAAGAAGGCGATTCTCCTGCCGAAACGTTAGCATAAGATAAAGGTCATTTATCAACCTCGTGAAGAGTTAAGAAGATATCAACCAGTTCAAGTTCTGTTTTACTTCCACATATTCTGTTTTCGCCTTCGGTTTCTTGCTGCTTCTCAAACTATTAAATTTCGTAGCATTTTAATCTGACCAGTCAATCGTGCTTTGTTACTTACTTCCTCCCTGTCCCTCCTCTGTTCTATCCTGTTGCTAACCACTTCTATTCTAGCTTGTTCTGATTTGGGGGAAACTTTTATTGCTGTGACTTAGATCTCTACAACATTAATTATGCTTACTGAATACGTCCTTCTCCTAGATAGGCGTACATAGCGCACACTTTCCCGTCAATTATGCCACCCACGATTTTTTCAGGTTTTTGGCTTAGGTTGGATTCGATGAAGTGACATAGCAGGCCACCCTTCCAGGCGTGTCTATAAAAACTTAGAAGATTTTGCTCTGATTCCCGTACACTGAATTTGATATTGCTACTTTATTGAAGGAAGACCCCAAAAACTGAAGCTCAGGTCGCTCAAATTCACTTTCGGCGCATTAGATAGAGGTCAATTTCACTTGATGTCACGCCTCCAAACGAAGCGTTTACGCTCACAAAGTCTCTGTTCAGAAGAATATGATTCCTAATTACAACTTGCTACCCATCGTTGAATTCGACTAGATCTTTTTTGTGAAAATTGGCCTACCAAGGGAGCGAGTAGTGGTGGTGTGCGCCATGGTGACATGTAAGCGACATCGAGGTAATGACATAAATTTCCGCCATCCTCTCTAAATAGAAATCTGTGAGCATATAAGCTTCGAACTTCGCTAGGACCGAGACCGAAAATAAAGTTGACCTCAAATCTAGTGCCCCAAAAAAGCGAATTTGAGGGTTATTTGAGCACGTCGAATTCTCCAATTTTGCCTGAATGTATTCCTTGATATATTGTCAAGAACAGAAGGAGCGATCTCAAATGATAGAACATAGCTCTTTCGCTGATTAAGCGTTTTCATGCTGGTGCCTTTTAAAATAAGCATTTGACGCGGCCATTTTCTCCCTCGATGGAACACAGCGAATTATCACGCGTTAATCGAAACCAAGCAACATCAGCTCTACTTCTCACACCGTCAGAAACGTTGGTTGCTGTGCCGATATATGAACGTTCCAACCAAGCCAGAAAAAGTGAAAAAAATCAGGGGTAGCATGAGCAAATGACGGGAAGTGTATTCCACCTTAAAAGCAGTATTTACGATGAAAAGTTAGCTCATTGGAAATAAGGGTAGAGGTGGTCAGTGGAGCAGGGATGAAGAAGAAACCATTTGAAAGGCCCGAAACCCGAGAAATGGGACCCCTTCCTTGCCCGTTGATTTGCGCATTGATGCGACTCTCATCGCTGTGCCCTCTTCAACACTACGCTCTCTCTGCTATCTAATCACTCGCCACGTATTGAACTACGGCGAGTGATCAGACCGCAAAGGACGTCGTATAGCATACTTGAGAAGCGTATATTTCAATGAAAAGTTTGCCTCAATTGAAATTAAGGGCCAGTGGTGCGGCAGTGCGAGCCAGGGATGAGAAGAAACTGTGGAAACCGAGAATGCCGTTGGTTTGCGCATTGATGCGACTCTCATCGCTGTGCCCTCTTCAACACTACGCTCTCTCTCTCTCTGCTAATCACTCACCCACGTATAGACCTGCGGCGAGTGATAGATAGATTGGGCGTACTCGCCAACCGCGCCAAGAGTGAGCCATGCTACATTGCCCCAAGCGACGCTGATGTCTCCCACAATGATGATCCATCGGCATCAAAATTGCCCTGCCCTCTGGCCATCGTGATCGTTGCCTTCACAAAATTGGTTGAATGGCTGGGCCCTAGTCATGCAGCCACAGAAGTTCCGAAAGCAAGTTGTTCTGCAATTCTTTTCATATTACTTTAATTCTCTTTTTCAGGCGACCCGTTTTTGATACAGGACAACAATCGAGGTCTAATTGGTAGATGTGTTCGGATGGAAAGCGACAACGGGTAAGATCTTATACACCCGCTGTGAATTTATGACTTTAGCCGTCACCCGGTTATTCGTAAAGGCAGAACTGACTGAGTGATTGGTCTGAGAGCCTCAAACAGATTTGAGGCGGTACACTAAGAGATTCGCTGCTGATTATGGTGGGCGTTATGGGATGGCATTAGTGAGCGCTTTTAGTTGGGTGATGAATACCGTAACGAGGACTTTCCACCAGTATTCAACGAAATATCTTCGAAACAAATCTGAGTCCTCCCTTTTCCGGCGAGCTACCCTCCCCTCCTACCGTCCTTTATATCCGCCCGCCGTCAGCTGTTACCATCATTTTTCAAAATAACGTAGAGAAGAAAATGAGCAAGAACGGGGGGCCTGGATATAGTACGGGTAAATTTGTGTGGATAAGATTGTTTGTGGGCGTGTGGGGGTGATGGAATGGTGCCGGAAAGAGGAATGGAAGGAGTCACATTCTTGCAGAAGTTCCTTTGCTCCCAAGTTTAGGCTTACAGTATGCAAGTGTTGACAAAGAGTTGATGTGAACACGTTTAGCACAATTTTTGCTTTTTGCGGCGAGTGTGATGGCTTCAAGTGAATTAATTCCCAATGAGTGGGAGGGGGTTGTTCGTAACATCAAAAGGGGGCCCATCTATCTTCAATATTATAGCAGCATGCGTCAGACCGAATTATCGGAAAAGTTCAGTGGAGCATGACGGGGGCGTGAGAAATGTGGGAATATAGTGCCTTCAGGCGAGGTCACGGATAGTGGTGGAACAACAGAAAATACCTTGCTTGCGAGATATGTATATCGATCTGTGACTTCGGAAAATTCTCGGTGAAAGAGAAACTTATTTGTTTGCGGAATACGCCTTTCCGAAAAGCACTCTCTGCTCGCAATGTTGGACCAGGAGGTATGACGTTCACACCCAGCAATTGCGTGCTCCTCATGCAGATGTTCAAATAGGCCCGCACAGTGTACGCATCCTAAGTTTTCTGCTCTTCTCAGTCACGCCGTGGGGGGGAGGATCGGCGGATAGCACGCTTTTGGCGGCTTAGCAGAGGGGGGGGGAGTGCGCAAGAAGAGAGTTTCCCTGAGTAGCCTCAATGAATGAGACTTTCTAATCTTTTCGGATGACGATTACCGGAGATAAGATATAGTCGGGGCGCGGGGTAGGGTGGACTTCGAGTCGACGAAAGACACGGTCGCGTTAAAGAGCCCTTGGATTTCAGTTTACCGACGGGTTCAGTTTCTTGCTCATATCTGGAGAGTGGCGCCTTCGCGCTTTCCCGTCCGCTGGTCTGGTGAGGGCGTTGGATTATATGGAGATATTTGTGCATGCGTCATATTTATTGAGATCGTGGATTGGGTGGCAGGTGAGGAGAGAGCAGAGAAGTGGGGGTGAGTGAGAAAAGACTGCGAGACGAGGGGAGGCATGAGATGTAGACGCGGTGCAGGGAACAGGCTGCGAGCGCGGGGGGAGAGGCGGGGCGTGATGCGGGGCTGCCCGGTCAGATTGTCGTGACGCGAAGTTCATGCGCGCGTGGCGAGGGGTCAGAGCGTCGCCGCCTTTTTCTCTCTTCCCAGCTTGCGTTAGTTTAGGCGAAGCTTAAGATCTTGTAATGGCATTCAAAATCTTATCAGGGAAAGCAGCGGTGGATTTTCACAACTTCTTTGACTGCACTATAACCAGAACTAGAGGTTCCGCAGTTAAAATCAAGATTCCGTTAGCAAGAACTCAGGTCCGCTCTAAATATTTTTCCGTAAGGGTTATTTCTCCTCTCAACAAACTATTTCGTCACGACATCATGCGGCTTTCTCTGAATTCTTTCAAAAGATTGGCCAGTAAAATTCTACTTGCAGAGGATTCACGTGCGCTTTCAGTTTAGTTGTTTTATTGAATTTTGCTTCCTGTTCGTTTGTCTTTTCTCCATTCTTAGTTTCTCTATCTAAATCCCTTTTGACCAATATATTGTCTCGTCAGCCGAGTTGTTGATAATTGTGTTGCTATTGTTTTGTAGGTATTATACACGTGGATATAAATCTAATAATAATAATAATAATAATAATAATAATAATAATAATAATAATAATAATAATAATAATAATAATAATAATAATAATAATAATAATAATTTAATAATAATGATAATAACCAAGGCGCGTACTATGTTGTTCGCCGCGTGGAACAAGTGCGCACGCCATGATGGCTTGCAACATAAAAATGTAACTCGCGTATTTAAAATATTTTCAAGATAGCCGCAATTACGTAGGACGGCCTCCATCCATCCGGCATAGCATGGTTTACAGAGTGCTCCGAGTAGGAAACATTTATATAGACTCAGAGTGGGCCGTTCTGTGGCGTCACATAGTAATTTCCAATTTTGCATGATTAGGCCGAAGATCACTTATCTATTGGGGTTTTTCCGGCTTTCTACGGTCTTATACAGGGAGCGGCTTGAACTGGATCGAAGCTCTACTGCACCTATAACCTTCTAAGGTTTCTACGCTCCGCCCTTTCGAATCCGAGCTCCCCTCCCAAATTTTCAATCTCTCTTTACAAAATGTATAGGGTAAGGATTAAAATTCTGTAGTTCCAGTTGTATCGGCCTAATCGAGAGTCGGCAGCAAAAACTGTTTTAGGGCAAAGTTTACCGAGTAAAGTGATTGCGCGCGCCTGAAAAGGGCGTTGTGTACCCATAGCCCGCTACGTGCAAACACGCATTTTCATTTAAAAGGGAGAAACCCGCAGAAGGCCTGTTGATATCGCGCTGACAGTAATTCTGACATTAGCCATAGATACTTCTATGAGTGTGGACGCTTTCTCTTGCCCTCCTTCGGTTAATCCCAAGCGCAGATCCTCACCGCAGCCCACTGCATGCGAGTCTCCCACATAAAGGCCACTTCTCTCACAGAAGATGGCGGTTTACACGTTAGGCCTTTGTGAAGCCGCTACAGGCACTCACGGCCGAACTGTCAGCGCTCTGACCTGCGTAAGAGCCTAGTCTCCTTATCACATAATTAACGACTTTCTTCCTCACCAGCATCCAATTTATTCAATTCAGCTGGCCTAAGCAGTAGCTCATCTGAACAAATGTAGGCTATTGTCGGTTTTATAAATTTTCCAACCTCCTGTTCACTCTAACCGTATATTCGGCATTCTTTCAGAGCATGTTGGCAGTGTTTCCTCGAAGGAAGCGAACGTGAGGTGGCTCGGCTAGAACGTGGTCATCTGCGATTCGCATCCGACGTCTCGTTCCAGTTGAAGCTGCTCGTTCTTGCCGCCATGGCGAGGGTGGTGGGCCAGCCACGGGTGCAAACCAACTGTTTTCCATTTTTGAGATACTAGTGATGACTTTTTGATCAAATTTTCAATTATGTGCCAAAATGAATGTTGTGCTAGCAAAACCAGACCGGCACGTATAGCTTTTCACCAAATGAGACTTGCGTGTTTTCTTTTCACTGAATCTTTATCAGCGAGGAACACTATATGTCGGATGACGCTTATCAGCTCTTTCTTGCCGAATAATTAGTTAAGCTTCTGTACTGTTTTATGGCCACTTTAGTATGATTACCGTAATTACCGCTCCCCGAAATTGTGAGCATTGTTTTAGGTCACAGTTGCTATATTTTATCGGGTAATGCTAAGAATTCTCTGAACTTTTTTTTTACCTCCCCCTTCTGTCACGCACTCTTATTTCCATAATATTTTGGTCCAGCTGTAGATTAGAAATAGTTGCTAGGCCATACTGAAGTTCAGCGCCCTTCTAAAAACGTGTAGCTTATACCAGTGTTGTACAGAACCGTAACTATTGCTTTTTTAACCAAGCTGAGCACCTGCTTCCTTATGTTTTCGCTTTTGAAGCATCTCGTATTGTTTTCTTTCTGAGGGCTGCGAAGCAGCCGAGTGCCCGCAGAAATGATCTCAGCGTTTGGGTTCCTGTGGATGCTTGCAATAAATGGGCTGTAATAAAAATTCACATGCACTTACATTCATGCAAACTTGAAATTTTGCCCAATTATTGGAAATGGAATATTTGCAATGGAGAACAATTACAAAATGAGGATCTATGGAAACAGCTGAGCAAGTAAGAATTACAAGTGTTTATTCTCTTCAATCACATAATTTTTAAAGTTTGACATCAATCTTGCTCGCCCAAGGTATCGAAATTTTGAGTTTTCGCTTGATTAGTGGAGTCTTTTCGTCTTGGTATTGCACCAACACATGAAAGCAAAATCAAACGCTTCACCGTCATGTGTGTCTCATTTTCCACATATACTCAAGGAATTGGGGTGGACACGTGGCGCTGGTGGAGCTGCTAAGGTTGGTTTCCTTAGTTGGAATTTTTCCTCTATTTGAAACTCTTGAGTAGTATCGTGGGGACTGACCGGGTAAGTTACAAGCTAAAACTTCGAACTGACTTCAGGTCCTGAAGACGACGAGTTGTTCGAAACGTCGACAAATAAATAAGTTCCACCGTAACAACCTGTATGGCAGAAAAGAAAAACAGCAAAATAATCTCAACAATGCCCAGATTTCAAGATAGAAAATCAAACTTTTGCTCGAGAATCAACTCTTCCTGAACCAGATTCTCTCTTGCTGGCGCTGAAACAATTGTCAATATGGGGTGACCTGGTCAAGTTGTTCCATGTAGCAAAATCCGTTTTAACAAAGAGACGGTGGCAAAAAATAACATACGCGTTACTTTTTCGCTTCGTTTCAAATATGGTATGAAGAATTTATAGTGTTTTTTCTTTTCAAACTGTTTGTTGATAGTAGTTATGTTCTGGTTAGCAGGGGAAGAAATTTCTTTTCCAAGTTCTGATGAAGACCTACTCAGGCTGGAACACGGTTGCGAGGCAAGCAAACATCTGGACTGAGAGTTACAGGCAATTTCGAGCTCTATTTTTTCTACGAACCTTAACACATTGACGACAACGCGGGGGATATATATCCCGCGCATTGCAGGCCGTGTCGGACCGTGCGGGGATATATCCCCCGCACCCATTACACTAATTTTTTTCGCGCACGCCTGGTTCTTCTAGAAGTTTCTTGTAATTATTGAATGGAAGGAGACCTTGACCTAGCTACAAACATAGTGGCCCATAGAATGGTCACGTATGCTTCAATTTAGAGGAGGATTTCTGAACCATACGAAATCTTCAGTTAATAAATTTTTCGTTTACTTTTTCTTTATGAATGTGAAGATTTAAATAGTAGTAGAAGTAGATACGGAACCTTAGAGATGACAATATATGTGTTTTGATTAAAATAATCAACTCAAAATTGCCTTTGAAGTTTATTGCAGCTTGTTCTAAAGAATATCACTTTTTCATTGTTATTCCATGTCTTTCAATAGAAATTCCGCTACTGTACCTCCGAGTAGGTTGTGCTCATTACAATATATTGATCTGGCCTTGTATTGATCATTATTTATGTTTTTATCACTCAAAATTTGCTTGAACGACCTGAGGCGGCGGCGCTCGCAAAAACGCCGTGGTCCCACGTGGCCAAAAGTGCCAAAACTCGCGTTGTCGTCAACGTGTTAAAGGAATAGTATTAGTCGCAGTTTACGTTTCCACCCTGAAAATTTGATTACTTAAGGCTGGGATCAGTGCTTCAGGCAAGCCTCCACAGGTTTTTATCGATAAAAGCGCATGAAATCGCTAGGAAGGTCTACCAAGAAGGGTCCTGAGAATGCTGCTGTCTCCTGGAAGCAAATCATAACAATTCTGTTTTTCTACAGGAACAGGCTCGGGCCCATGGACCAATACAGCGATCCACTTCTGCGAGACCAGTATCGGCTGTTTTGTGACGATGGATTCGTGGTCTGCTCTACAGTCCGAATTCGGATCCATTAGATTCTCTGTTAATATATCCAAACAGGGAAATCAATAGAAAAAGTTATATTGAAGAACCACTAATAGAATCGAAATGCAAAAAGTTTGGTGATTCTGAAAAGAACTGCCTAAAATTTGGAATGAAATATGCGTTGAACACCTCCGCCGCACCATCGACTCGCTGAAGAAACAAATTGAGGCCTGTATCAAAACTGATGGCAGCTACTCCAAATCTTTTTTGCAGTTATAAAATGTCATGGTTCGATGTTTTATAAAATTTTATTTCAAATTTTTGTGGGAAAGAAATGAAGTTTGGACGTGTTTTATGGCGCACGTAATTTTTTGCCACCCTGTATTCAAAGGAAGAGGCTATGATAATAACTATGATATTTGTTACCATATCATTACAAAAACCATGAGATGTTGTATCTCCACAGAAAGCGGCTGCTGTATATCCACTGAATGAATATTTTTTTAGCCCAAAATTCGTGCCACTGTTAAGTATTTTTACATTACATTTTTTCAACCAAAAGCAATGCCTCCACAGAAAATGCATCAGTCAATGACTTGCTTCCAATGATTCCAATGACTAGAAAAGTGAAGTCGATGCCGTGTTCCCAGAAGGTCGAGGCTCCACGCTCAATAAGAGAGTGACGTTGATTTCGAGGTTCTTCTTCGGATCGTATTTTCTGCACGATGATTGCTTAAGAAGAAAAATAGCCCTCCATGTGAGGAGCGTGGTCAACTCTGCGCTGTGGCTTTGGTAGGGCTACTCTTCTTACCATTAGATTTGAAGTCGCGTTATTTTTCACACACGTGGTCGCTATTGTCGCTTAGCGAACATACATACTTCATTTTATTTTGTGTAA